GGACAGGTTCTGGACTCATGGTGGACACCAAAGCATGGGGAGAACCAGAGGAACCAAGGACAGGGTGACAACGGGAGGTTCTCCAGGTGGGACAGGTGGCCCAGGTGACACTCCTGCTCCACCTTGGACAGGTTCTGGACTCATGGTGGACACCAGAACATGGGGAGAACCAGAGGAACTGAGGACAAGGTGACAACGGGAGGTTCCTCAGGTGGGACAGGTGACCCAGCAGGTGACCCAGGTGGCCCAGGTGGCCCAGGTGACCCAGGTGGCCCAGGTGGCCCAGGTGACACTCACGGCGTTGCAGGCGTTGGCGCGCTCCACCTTGGACAGGCTCCTGACGTCGGTGTTGAAGACGTTCATCTTCTCCACCAGGCAGGTGAGCGCCGTCTCGGTGGCCTCGCCCACCTTCTCATAGACACCCTTGGCCTGGGGACAGGGACAGGTGACACGCGTGACACACCTGACACAGGTGACCATGAGGGACAGGTGACACAGGTGACCCAGGTGGGACAGGTGGGTTGGGGACACCTGGAGGTGACCCAGGTGGGACAGGTGACACAGGTGGGACAGGTGACCATGAGGGACAGGTGGGACAGGAGGGGACACGTGGGGGGCTGAGGACATCAGGAGATGGACCAGGTGACCCAGAGGGGTTGGGGACACCAGAGGTGACACAGGTGACACAGGTGGGACAGGTGGGACAGGTGACACTGGTGGGTTCCATGGGTGTCACCAGGGTTGGGGGACACCAGGAGATGACCCAGGTGGGACAGGTGGGACAGGGGAGGGGACACCAGGAGATGATCCAGGTGACACAGGTGACACAGGGGGCTAGGGGACACCAGGAGATGATCCAGGTGGGACAGGTGACCAGGAGGTGACACAGGTAGGACAGGTGGGACAGGTGACCCAGGTGACACAGGTGACCAAGGTGGGACAGGTGACCCAGGGGAGGGGACACCAGAAGATGACCCAGGTGACCCAGGTGACCCAGGTGACAGGTTACACAGGTGACAGGTGGGACAGGTGGGACAGGTGACACAGGTGACACAGGTGGGACAGGTGGGACAGGTGACCCAGGTGACCCAGGTGGGACAGGTGGGACAGGTGACACAGGTGACAGGTGGGACAGGTGACAGGTGGGACAGGTGACAGGTGACCGCGGGAGGGGACGGCGCTGTCACCTCGTTGTAGTCCAGCGAGGAGTCGTTGCAGAGGGCGCAGATGGTGGCCAGCTCCACCAGGCCATCGAACT